ATACCTTAGAGAGCTTTGTTTCATACAGGCTACAGGTTACAAAATCCTACTTAAATGCTGCAGACTGATAACTCAAAATAGATCTGAGATTGGAGCTAATTAAGAATGATGAAGTAAGACAAATAAAGGACAGAAAATGATGAGAAGATATTAAGTAAAAAAAAAGAAAGAAAAAAAAGAGGAACAAGGCTTAGATTAGAAATAGCACAGGTGGCAAGCTCATTCATGGTCATAAGCGTACCTTCTGGAGGAGGAGACTCCACTTTCTTGGGAACAGGAACCGCTGGTTTCTCTTCTAAGACAGGTTTCTTTGGAACTTCCGGCACTTTAAAGATATTAGTTAGTTTTACCTCTAGGTAGTTGAAAGGACATGCAACTTATACCACATCTAGTTCACATGTAGTTCCAATAACACAGGGACAGATACAAGAAAAATTCACTATGAGGTCAATAGGTCAATGACCTAATCTTGGAACTACAGAGAAAGAAGGAAAATGTGGCCTATAGATATTAACAAAACCACATTAGTAACCTATTCCAATGCTCATCCGAGAAGTGTTAGTTGTTGTTTTAATGATGTTATTTACAAAAATTTAACCCCCAACCACCCAGAATGCCGGGTTTGTAGTTGTAGTTGTGAAGATAAGAGATTTGACAAACAAAAGGGTTTCCTATAAGCAAATGACCAAGATTGAGCACGTTTTGCAGAACTTCAGTCGTGACATGTACCTTGAGCTGGTGGGAATTCGGGCATTTTGGGAATGACTATTTTCTTTTCAGGAACAACTTCTTTGGGAACTTCAGGCACTTTAAAGATATTAGTATTGTGTCATTAGGAAGAATAGCTGGTTAACATTTACCACATTTACCCAGGACAAAAGATGTTTTAAGGGCTGGAGGCCGGATCCACCCCAGTCAGATGGGGGACCTCGACATGTACCTTTGACAGGTGGGACTTCCGGTCTCTTGAGAACCACAGGAGGCTCTTTCTTTTCAGGAACCACTTCCTTGGGCACTTTGGGCACTTTGGGCACTTTAAAAGATATTAGTACTTTTAGCTCACAGTTCCCATGGCATGTGGGAACCGTTAAGTAGAAGCAGTAAAACAACATGTGAAAGACAGACATTTTTCTGTAGGAAGCTAGTGGCAGCGAAATATACCTTTGAAGGGTGGTGGTTCAGGTTTTTTGGCAATGACAGCAGGTGGTTTCTTTTCTGGGACAGGTTTCTTAGGTGGTGGAGTCACTAAAGAGTTTAGAATGTATATGTTAGAGTAAGTGGCGACGAGTAAGACACAAGACAAAAACTCAGAATGCCCAGAATTCTCCAGGAAAGAAGGGTGCAGGATTGCCTAAGGCCCAGAATTCTCCAGGAAACAAGGGTGCAGGATTGGCTAAGGCTACCTGGCAGTTGGCCCAGTACCTTTTGGAGGAGCCACAGGCTCTGGCTCTTCCACAAGTTCAGCTGGAGGCTCTTCAGAAACAATTTCTTCAGGCTCTTCATGCACTTTAAAAACACAAGTTCATTTTAACACTAGGATCGTTTAAAGTATAGGAATTATTTTGCAAAAAGATGTTTATAACCCTAAGAAGAGAGTTTGCTTTTTTTGTTTTTTTTCTTTTCGTTTTCAAAAACACTAGTTTGGATAATTTTTCATGATTACCTTCAGGGGGAGGACTCTCCGGTTTGGGAGGAGTCACTTCAGGCACCTTCTTTTCTGGAACAGCTGCCTTTGGCGCCTCCGGTACTTTAAAGATATTAGTATGTTGATGATTAGACAGAGTGAAGTCAGACAGACAGACAGACAGTGTCCAACACAGGGGCAAGAGGGTGACTACCTTTGGCTGGCGGAACTTCTGGCTTTTTAGGAGGCGCCAAAGGCACTTTCTTTTCAGGGACAACTTCCTTGGGAGCCGCAGGCACTTAAAAGATATTAGTAAGATCACATTTAGTAGTTCTATGACCGCAAGAACAAAAGAAGTTCAAGAGTAGCAGAGTGTATCTTCTTAAGTCTAAGATGAACGGTAAGTAAGTACCTGGAACAGGCGGGACTTCTGGCTTTTTAGGAGGTACCACTGGTGCCTTCTTTTCAGGGACAACCTCTTTGGGAGCCTCGGGCACTTAAAAGATATTAATATATTTACATTTAGTCATTGGGAGACTGCTAGGACAAAAAAAAAAAATGTTTCCAGAAGCAGATGAGGTATGTCTTCTTAAACCTAAGATCATTGACAAATACCTTTCACAGGTGGGGTTTCTGGCTTTTTCAGAGGCGTCACAGACACTTTCTTGTCAGGGACAACTTCTTTGGGAGCCTCAGGCACTTAAAAGATATTAGTAAGATTACCATCGGGAGTTATGAGGTCCCTGGAAGGACCTATTTTCTAGAGCAGAAGCGTTATGTCTTTCTAAGCCCAAGGTCAGTGACGAATAATACCTTTCACAGGTGCGATTTCTGGCTTTTTGGGAGGCGCCACGGGTGCTTTCTTTTCTGGGACAACTTCTTTGGGGGCCTCCGGCACTTAAAAGATATTAGTACGTTTACCGTTAGTTGTTTTGAGACTGCTGGGAGGAAATGTTTTCAAGATCGGAAGAGCTGTATCTTCTTAAGTCTAAGGTGAACGATAAGTACCTGCAACCGGTGAGATGTCCGGCAGCTTCGCAGGCACCACCGGTGCCTTCTCTTCAGGGACCATCTCTTGAGGAACTTCAGGCACTTAAAAGATATTAGTATGTTTTACACTTGGGTTAACGAGCTCACTGGACTACAGTTATCCCCAAGAAGCAAAGAGGTCTATTTTATTCTTCTGTAGAATAAGGATGTGGTGGGAAATACCTGAAACCGGTGGTGCTTCTGGCTTTTTGGGTGGAGCCCTGGGGGTTTTCTTCTCTGAGACAACTTCTTGGGGAGCTTCAGGCACTTGAAAGATATTAGTCGTGTTACACAGACGTGAGTGAAGAGCAATGGCCTAACACAGTTTCCAATAGCAGAAGAGCCAGCTCAGTGGCAGAATGAGGCCGGGAGCACGCATACCTGTGACAGGCGGAGCTTCTGGCTTTTTGGGCGGGGCCCTGGGAGCTCTCTTTTCTGGGACCACTTCTTGGGGGGCTTCAGGCACTTGAAAGATATTAGTCGTTTGACACTTCAGTTAAGGAAGAGCCACGGCCTAACACTATTCTCAAGAATGGAAGAGATATTTCTCCTGCGAAATGAGGTCGGGGCTCACATATACCTGTGACAGGTGGGCGTTCCGGCTTTTTGAATGGTGCCTTGGGAACTTTCTTTTCTGGGATGGCTTCTTGAGCAGCTTCAGGCACTTGAAAGATATTAGTGTTTTTAGAATGTGTGAATGGTGGAGGCCTATGCTGTAACAACTGTGAAGAGGACAAGACCATGGTTCCCCTCTTCACAGAGCAGTGGGGATAAATACCTAGGGCAGGCGGAGCTTCTGGCTTTCTGGGCACAGCCACAGACACCTTCTTTTCAGGGACAACTTCCTTTGGAGCTTCAGGAACTTTGAAGATATTAGTATGTTTTAGTTCGAGACTATGCATAGGCGATCGTGACGACATAGTTGCCCCAAGCCATACACTGTGAAGCTGGAGGACACTTCCACACATGCACTCACCTCCCCCCCCCCCGATTCATACTCCCCCAACCCCACCCCAGAAAAGCATGACCAGCAACACAAGGATAAATACCTTCAGCAGGTGGAGCTTCCGGCTTCTTAGGCACTTTCTTCTCAGGGACGGCTTCCTTCGGTGGTGGCGGCACCTCTGGCACTTAAAAGATACCGGTAATTTGTGTTTAGAAAAAAAGTGACCATAGGTAACGACTCTACCTTGTCATCATACACCAAGGCATTTTGGAAAACTTCTGACCTGTGTCTCTTTAGAATGATATCGCCTTCACCTAGTGCTATTTGTATACAGAACTTTCTAGCTAAGATAGTGTGACCTTTCCTCCTGGTATAGAGAGCTTGCCCATTACCTTCAGGGGGAGGACTCTCCGGTTTGGGAGGAGTCACTTCAGGCACCTTCTTTTCTGGAACAGCTGCCTTTGGCACCTCAGGTACTTTAAAGATATTAGTATGTTGATGGTTAGACAGAGTGAAGACAGACAGACAGACAGAGTGTCCAACACAGGGGCAAGAGGGTGACTACCTTTGGCTGGCGGAACTTCTGGCTTTTTAGGAGGCGCCAAAGGCACTTTCTTTTCAGGGGCAACTTCCTTGGGAGCCTCAGGCACTTAAAAGATATTAGTGAAATTACAGTCAGGAGTGATGAGACCGCCGGGAGAAAAATATTAGCAAGAGCAGACGAGCTATGCCTCGTTCAAACCTAGGATCAGTGACAAATACCTTTAGAAGGAGGGACGTCTGGCTTTGTAGGAGGCACCACCGGTGCTTTCTTTTCAGGGACAACCTCTTTGGCAGCCTCGGGCACTTAAAAGATATTAGTAACATCACAGTCAGGAGTTATGAGGTCACCGGAAGAACAAAATATTTTTTAGGAGCAGATCACATATATTCTTAAACCTGAACCCAGGGCCAGTACCTGTAACAGGTGTGGTTTCTGGCTTTTTAGGAGGCACCAAAGGCACTTTCTTTTCAGGGACAACCTCTTTGGGAGCTTCGAGCACTTGGAAGATATTAGTACATTTATTTACATTTGTGTTACATGGATCGACACAGACAGACGTCACATTGACACGTCAACAGAACTCCCTGGGCTAACGCGGTGGTTCTTTCCATTCCCTCCCTCCCCCACGGTGCAGGGAGTCCGGGAATGTACCTTCCACAAGTACAACTTCAGGCTTTGGGGGAGGATGCACTTTCCTTCCTGGGACATCTTTGGGAGCCTCCGGCACTTTAAAGATATTAGTATTTTTACACTTAGGAGTTATAGGAACCAGTACAAACACGAAACACATTTATACAGGAAAAGAGATTTTTCCAAATCTCTGAGCCTCCAGCCACATGTACCTTCATCAGGAGGGCCTTTAGGCTTTTTGGGAGGAACCACAGATGCTTTCTTCTCAGGGGGAATTTCGTGAGGTGCTTCGGGCGCTTGAGGAAATTTGTAACATTTAGTGTTATGAGGATCAGGAGGTACAAGCAAGTATTTTCAAGACTACACGAGCTATTTCTTCTACAGCTTGAAGGCATGGTCACGTGTACCTTTCACGGATGGAGGCTCTCTTTGTTTGGAAGGAACTCTCTTCACAGGAACCACTTCTTGAGGAGCTTCGGTCACTTTAAAGATATTAGTATTTCAGGTTTAAGAGTTAGAATGTTTACTAAAAGCAGTCACCACAATGAGTTAGCAGATACAGTTTTCTGGAAGTCTCTTCTCTCCCTCTCCACTCTCTGCTTGCCCCATGAACCAACTAAGTCTAATGGGGTGGTAGGATCCTTGAGAAGAGGATTCACCCTTCTCCAGCACCCAGCAGAATTTCTATGTCACCGCAGCCTTCCTTACTAAGTATTTGCTGAGTGAATATGTTTAATGGGAGGGTTTTCTGTTTTGATAAATATGGCCACACATTTTTTTTTGAGAGACTGCTTTAAAGAGGTTAGTATGTTTAGGGGTTACGGAGAACATTAAAAAACATAATTTTAAGAGCAGAGGGCAGATCATCTCTTCTTCAGTATTTGTGTAGACATGACATATACCTTCCACAGGCTGAGGTTCTGGCTCTTCAAGAACATCCTCAGATACTTGCATATCAGGAGCAACTTCTTTCATAGCTTCTGGTGCTTTAAAGATATTAGTATCAGACTTAGAGATTAAGGATCAGTGGAGACCTGAGTCATATTAACTGGACAAAAGATATTTTTATGTCTACAAGGGCACTTCCTTCAAGAACTGAATGAGGTATAATGCATTAAGGAAAGGAATCCAGTCTTATTTGTCTTTGCTTATTACTCCCCAGCTCACCAGCACCATGTGCTTAATAAGCATTCACTGAATAAATGAAGGAAGGAATGACAGAATGAATGATACCTTTAGTAGAAGGTGTTTTAATTTCAACTTCAGTCATAAGTGTTTTCTGAACAGGGACAACTTTGTGAGGTGATTCAGGCACTTTAAAGATATTAATTCATTGTACTTCAGAGTGATGAAGAGCAATGAAGGATTTTAATCATAACTCTACCTACAGGAATACCTCAGACTGGGACACCTCCCTGCTCCTAAAATCTGATATTTTGGTAATAGTATGAATATTTGATTATCAGAAGCTGTTTTCTTGGTCATCTCAGGCACTATCAATATTAGTAATTTTGCTCAGTGATTGAGTGTTGACCTATGAATCAGGAGGTCACGGTTCGATTCTTGGTCAGGGCACATGCCTGGGTTGCGGGCTCAAACCCCAAAATGGGGATGTTCAGGAAGCAGCTGATTAATGATTGTCTCTCATTATTGATATTTTTCTCTCTCTCTGCCTTCCTCTCTGAAATCAATAAACATATATTTAAAAATTACTAATTTTATTTCTTGAAATGGTAGATGTATAGAAAATTAGATAATAGAAAATTAACTTCAAGATAAAAGTTTTAATTTTTAAAAACAATTAACAATGTACTTTTGTTTAGCTATTAGTTTGAAGAGAGAAAAACAGCTCCTTTCTTATCTGGTTTAGCTTCCTTTTGTACTTTTAAAAAGTGCTTGTTTTTTAGGTATAGCAGATAGGATAACAACCTAAAGATTCTAAACTGAGAAAACAATGTCAAAATGTTTAGTTTTTAAATTACAGAAATTATTATTCTAGATGTTAAAAAATTTAAATTCAAAATGAAAAAATATAGGACTCTTTAAAAATAAAAGACAATTAGAGGGGCTAAGTATTCAGGGCAGAATTCCAACTTTAACTGGTTTTGTTTTAACTGCTTTGGTTGTAGAAAACTCTCAGTTATAAATGAAATAGAACAGTTTCAGATTAAATCTGATATTTTTTCTTTAAGTAATGGTTTCCTGAAAATATTTCTATAATATTTAAGTCTTATAGAAATTACATTATTTCAAATATATGGGTTTATTTTTGGTAGTAAGCTTATTTTAATAGAAAAATAAATTGCAGTAGGCAGTTATATGATATTCTGGGATTTCAACTCTATGGAGAGTTGAATTATGGACTTATAGTCTATAAACAAACACCTCTGTCATTTGATAACACTGATTTCTACATTATAGAATAATGAGCCAATTCAATCTAATTGGGGGGATATAAATGTTATAAGTAATCTATCATTATTTTTCTAGCTATTCTGATTTTAATTTTTTATGGACACAGTAACAGTTATTTTCTATTGAAGAATCTATCCAGCTTCCATCTGCACATTATATGTATACATATTTTCCCTGGAGGCCTCATAGATAAACTTTGTAGCCCAACCATATTCCATATATATATGTCAACAATAATTTCCCCTGTTTTCACTCATGGGGATATGTATATGCCCAATCAAACTTTTGCTTGGGGGAGCCACTTCTCCAAAATGACTTTCTTGGTAGCATCTTGGGTTTTCAAGATATTAGTATTTTTACATGTGTTAACTACAACTAGAATCACTAGATAAGAAAGTCCACTTTCTTCTGGCTTGTACCTTTTGGTGATGTTATCTTTCTTCTTCTAGCAGCAGAAGCTGGCTCCTCTGGAGTACCTTCCTCAGAGACTTCCATCTCTTTAAAGATATTAGTAGGTTTTAGTTGAAAAAGGGCAAAGACATGAAGATATGGCATACTAAGGAAGTTATGTATATTAGCAGAGATTCTAACTTTAAATTCAGATTTTAATTTTGTAACAATTTTTCTCTGTACATTGTATGAGTGGGACTTTTTTGGTGGGGCATGTCATAGTTCCTTGTTTTGGGGTACATTAGGTGTTCTAAAGATATTAGTATTTTAGCATTACAGGTTGTGAGAATCTACACACAACAGTAAACTCATTTTGTAGACCAAAGCAGAATTTTCTTATTTCGATTTTTATAATTAACATTTATGACTTCAGTAGGAGAACGCTCTGAAATGCTGGGAATAGCTTCAGGAAACTCTACTTCTGGAAAAACTTTTCTGGTTGTATCAAATTCTTCAAAGATATTAGTAGATTTATACAGAGAACTCAAAAACAGTGAATGATATAGCATGCAACTTTTGTATCTTGAAGTCAAAGATATTTATCCAAGTTTGATGTTGCTTAAATATACCTTTAGTTGCTGGTGTTTCTCTCTTTTTAGGAATAGTCACATGTATTTTATCCTCTGGAACAACTTTCTTGGGTGGTTCAGGCACTTAAAAGACATGAGTACAGTCATTAATGGTAAAGTAAATATTGAGCTTTTAAAAAGAGCCACAAATCAACGTTCTTCAGACTGTGTCATCAGTGTTATATACCTTTTGCTATTTTGGGTTTTGTCTTTTGAGGATGGGTCATAATCACTTTTTCTTCTGTGGTTGATTCTTCGAATACTTCATACACTTTAAAGATATTAGTATGATACAATTAGCTTCATTTCAAAGTGGATGAAGAACAGTATTAATAAAAACATAATACATAACCATTACTCAAATTACCGATTGTACGTAGACAAATATTAGTGACAATACACATTGGCTAGGAAAAAGTCTCCTTCCCAGTTTTATGATATGACTCAGCATTTCTTTTTTAACATGATGATAAAATTGAGGAATTCACTGGAAAGGGGCTATATAATTATACTTTTTCTGCAGACATTTACTGGACAAATTTTCTATTGCTCTTATTTTTTACGGGTTTGTTAAAAAAGTACAGGGTCAATGTTGAATTTAATCAAGAATTCTTTGATATTTGACCTATTGGAAATGCCGGTGAGTCTTTTTCTTCTCCAAAACCTAGTTACCTATATTTTAAAACCGCATCTAATTTTTTGTTTTATTGTTTAATATTAATGTTAAATCATTTAGGGATTGAAATCAGGAAATAAAAAAATAAATATTTGTAGAATAAGGCAGATGAAAGAAATAAAAAAGATTCCTCCAGCTTTTAGAAAGGAGTACTGGATGATGACAATAACCAAAGTAAAAGAAGAAAGTTAGGCCATAGCTGGATTGGCTCAGTGGGTAGAGTAAAGATATTGAGTTCGATTCTGGTCAAGGGCACATGCCTGGGTTGTGGGTTAAATCCCCAGTAGGGGGTGTGCAGGAGGGAGCCAATCAATGATTCTCTCTCATTGATGTTTCTATCTCTCTCTCCCTCTCCATTCCTCTCTGATATCAATAAAAACATATTTAAACACACCTACTCCCCACACACACACAAAAGGAGGGAGTCAGTATATATTTTTATCCCAGTGACAAAAATTGGTTTAAACAGGGAATTTTTTAGTGAAAATAAATGTAAGAATATCTAGACTACTCGCATTTTCACTACTCAGATTATTGAAAGTATCCTATTCAGAGTATTTTATTATTCAAATAATAAAAAATAATATTTATTATTTAATTTTACTACTCAAATCATTTAATTAAAATTTTACATGAGAGCCAATTAAAAAAAATGGCTTCATAATTCTTTTGGGGTCCTAATTACTATGTAAATCTATGGTCATTTGTAGCATTTCCAAAATGTTTCCAGAGATTGTGTTGAAGAGTAAAAAACAATAATGGTTGGGCATTTTGAGTCTATAAAATTCAATTAAAATATTATTATGAAGTTAATTATTTCATAGTCTGAGAAAATAAATTGCTTCAAAGCAAGAGACATTTGTACAAATAAAAGATTAATAAGACAGGACAACAAATTCAACAAGACAAATGACTTTTCTAAACTTCAGCAATGTTATAAGGTCAAGACTATATTTATTTTTAGATTGGTGAAGAAATAACTTTGACACTAATAGCATTCAAATTATTTACTCTCAGCTAAATATTTTGGTGAGTGAAGGCTTTTACATGATATTAGTGTATTTACTTTTAAAAGCTATGAACACAAACACAAATGAAACAAAAGGGAACCACCAAGTTTTCTACACTCACTGTACATCGTTGTGTCTTCAGAAAGAACTATAGGTGACGTTTCTTCTTGAAAACTTTTCTTAGGCACCTCAGGGACTTTAAAGATATTAGTATATTAATTGTTATGTAGGACAATGTAAGATATTCAGAATATAAAGAAACAAACCACACAGATTTAACCTCACACACATTCACTTTAAACCATGAATAACTAAATAAAGAGTTCCTTCATCTTGTGATTAGCATCAGTGTGTACCTTTAGCTGGTGGAACTTCAGGCTTCTTAGGAACAGCTTCATGCACCTTTTCTTCTGGGACAATTTTCTTGGGTACTTCAGGTGCTTTAAAGATATTTGATTGTTTTATTTTTAAGAATTTCATCATTGGATATAAAATATCGAGACAAACAAGGGGCATCTAACAAGAAGAATGTCAACAATTCCAAAATAAATCAACTAAACACAGTCAGTGTATCTCTCTAGATCGCCTTGTGACTGCTTCTTGTTTTGTCAGTTTAGAAACACTCTTCCCTTTGGGGATAGCATCATTGTCTATTGTAATTTGGAACAAGTTTATTTGTTTTCAGAGCTACTTGACAATAGCTTCAAAAATAAGTTATATATGAAAAAGAAGTTGAGGGGTCATATTGTTTAATTATTGTTTAAGAAGAGGATCAGCCCACACAATAAACTTACAGGCATACAAGAAGGTTATGTTATAGAACATAAATTGAAGTACACATCAATACATCAATATATTGTGGCATTAGGGGAGAATGGTCTCTCTCTCCTCCATAGTAAGTAAATAAAAGAGG